AAATAAAAATATTTTCACTAAATAGGCCCTTTGTCAATTAGAATTGGGCTGCTAATTTTATCAAATTTATACATTTTTGTGCTCTAACTTTTTAAGTTGTCATTTTGGTCCTTCACTACTAACTTGGATAATCTTTAACGCTTTCTTCATGTATATCCTCTTATATTTTAAATCTTTTTTTTTCTTGATTTTTTTATAGGGTCAAAAGTAGATAACAACAAAAGTGTCATTTGAATATGATAAGATTGTAATGACTAAGAATAATGTAAGAATAATTATTTGTGGGGAAAGAATATTGTAACCATGAACTTTTTATATTCCATGTTGCTAATGAAATGAATGCAAATGCATTTTTTCTACTTATTTGCTTGAGTCTATTGATTTATAGCATGCTAAAGTAGGATATGTTACTTTATCTTATCTTAAGAAAATGAATTATCTTGGGTTAATTTATGATTTAAACTTTTCATCTATGAATAAATATGAAATATGTGTTAAGGCTGAAATTACCAAGAAAACATATGCATATCTTAAAAGAAAAATTAAATTACTTAGCTTAATATACACAAACTTGGGTGATTTAAAATAAATTATGACTAGATGAGGTAGAAAATAGTATGTGACCTACATATATGATTTTTCAAGATATACAAATTTTTTTTTGCTTAGAATTAAAGATGAAGCTTATAACATGTTTTATTATATAAAACAAAATCAACTAAAATAAAAAAATTAAATGAGTTAGATATGATAAAAAGATAAATATTTCTTTTATAAATGACAATTATGAAAAGAAAGGTATAATACATGAAGTTACTCAATCTTATTCACTTGAGTCTAATAGGATAGTTAAAAGAAAAAAATAAAACTTTAAAAGAAATAATGAATGTTATGTTAGCTAATTCTTTAACACATAATTAATGGAGTGAAACTATTTTATCTACGTATCATTTACAAAATATAATTCCTTATAAAAAAATTGGTATAATACTTTATAAATTAGAGAGTGGTTATTATCCTAATTTAAAATATCTAAAAGTATGGGGGAGTCTAACCAATGTTATATTACCTGAACTAAAAAGGAGAATGATAGGTTTGTAAGCTTATGATTGTATGTTTATTAGTTATTGTTTATGTTGAAAATAATGTTGCATAAAGGTTTTTAGTATTAAAAAGTAATGTGCTAGATTAAAATATTATTATTAAAACAAAAGCTACAGAATTCCTTAAACACATTCATCCATTAAGAGAAAAGATTTTTTATGCATCTATTAACGATAATAGAATTGATGAAACTCATATTAAGAAAGAAACGAGTGTGAGATAAAGAAAAGAAATTTTATTTGAAAATAATTTATCACTTATTTGATATATAAAAATTCAGTAACCTTCTTTGAAGCTATCTCTTCTTTTGATTCTAGTTTTGAAAAAAAAACAATTAAAGTTTAAATTAATTTGCTTATATAAAATCAAACTTTAGAGATTATTGATTTGCCCTAAAATGCAAAACCTTTTGGTTGCAAATGGATTTTTAAAAAAAAATATTTTCCTAATGGTTATATAGATAAATACAAAATAAGATTGGTTGTAAAAGGATTTTACTTAAAAACAAAATATGGATTATTTTGATATATTTTTACCTGTAAGTAGAATTTTCTTAATTGGAGTTTTAATTGTTTTAGTTTTCAATTTATAACCTTTATATACATCAAATGGATATTAAAACTGTTTTTCTAAATAATGATATAGAAGAAGAGATGTATATGTTACAACTTGAAGGTTGCTTAGTTCCTGAACAAAAAAATAAAGTCATTATATTGCTTAAAGCAAGCTTCTAAATACTGGCATGAGAAATTTGATGGAGTTGTTTTGAGTGATGGTTTTTCTTCAGTTAGAATGGATAAATATATGCATACTAAGTCTATTGATAATTACTATGTGATCATTAGTTTATATATAGATAATATGTCTATATAGATGATATGCTTATTTTTTGTACTAACATGAATGTTATGCATATCACAAAACATTTCTTAAACTAGTGTAATATTAGGTATTAAAATTATAAAGAGAGACAATGATATAATACTAACACAAGAACATTATGTAGAGTAACTTTTTAAGAAGTTTGGTCACTTTAATATGACACTTGTGAGTGTTGCTTATAATGCTAATACTTAATTAAAGAAACATAAAGGTAAAGTTGTTTGCTTAGCTCGAGCATGCTCAAATTATTAGAAGTCCGATACCTTTATTTAACTTCACTTGACTTAACATAGTATATGTTATGTGTAGATTACGCAAATATACACAAAATTTCAATCATAAGCATTAAGCAATAACAGTTTAACTGATAAAATATTTGAAAGGTACCATGGACTATGATATTTTATATAGTGGATTTCTTGCTCTATTAGAATGATATATCGATGCTAACTAAATTTCATATTCAAATGAGATTTAATCCATTAGTGACTATATTTTTATTCATGGTGGTGATGCAGTGTCTTAAAAATCATTCAAACAAAGTTTAAGGGCTCAATTTATCATGAAGTTAAAATTTATAGCTTTAGAATTAGTAGGAAATGAAGCTGATTGGTTGGTTGCGGAATTTTTTAACTAAAATTCCATTAAGAGTATAGCCGACACATTATATAGCAATGCATTATGATTGCCAAATAACAATAGCCACTATTAAGAATAAATCCTTCAATGGTAAAAATCAACATATTCAATTAAGACATAATGTTATAAAACAGCTGCTAAAAGATGGAATTAGTTCAATTGATTATGTGAAGTAACAAATAAATGTGGTCGATCCTCTGACTAAACTAGTTGGTAGAAAATTGATATTAAAAATATCAATAGGAATAAGACTAATGTTATAAAGAAATCAAAATGATGGTAACTCAACATATGTGATTAGACATCCCATGAATTAGATTCATATAAGTAATAACAAAGTCATTTGTTGTCTATAGCACTATAAAACAAGTCATTTTCTATCATGTGAGGATAATACTAGTTTGTAATTAAAGAGATCGTGAACTAAAAAGTTTTTAATAAATTTTATATTTTTTATAAATAGTATTCAAGTTGCAATGAATACTTGATGAAAATACTTATATGAATGTGGAGTAGAACCATTTTTATTAGATACTAGAATTACTTATATGAGTGTGGAGTGAGACCATTTCTATTAGATACTAGCAAATCTCTATAGCGCTCATAAATAACTAGGCACTATCATAACTTATTAAAGTAAGATTGAGTCAAACAACAAGAAATTATAGAGGTATAATTTGATTGGTAAAATATCTAACTTATAATAAGAATTTTTTATTCATAGAAGTTAAAAAATAATTATATACATTAAATCTCATTCTTTCCATAATTTGATTTATAATCCAAAAAATACTAGAATAGATAGAAATCCAACAAGTATATTCTTATTAAAAAAAAATCTCTTGAAATATATGAGGGATTGTTGTAAAAATAAAATTTAAGAGATTATTTCAAAATATTTTTATTTTACATTGAAAAAATATAATTTTTTTATCATGAACATAGAATATATGTATTAATAGGTTTCTAATTCCACATTATAAAAATAAAATATTTTAATATTTATATAATAAACTTTAATATAAATTAATAACTAACAAAGATAAGATGATAGATTTACCCATGTAATGTTAGCTCATACGAAAAACAATCTTTAATTATTTAGTTACATGTAAAACAACGCTTATATTTTTTAAATTTTTTATCTTCAATGATAATTTATTTTGGGCCTTTAAACTAACATTGCAGTTTTTTAAATTCTTGAAATTAATTTTAGCAGGTACATATATTTCATAAACGCTATTTAACATTTCTAACAATTATTTTTTGAAAAACTGTTGTCACGACAACCCATTTCAAAACAACACCTTAATTCTATCATTTAACTGTCGTAGACTTTAATTCTCATATTTATTTATTTTTGTGCTGTTGTGGGCTACAAGCCTATACATATACCTGCATTTTTAGAGACAAAAAAAACAAAACACCACCTGACTTGAAACACTTAAAACTTGTTGGATTTTCTTTTTGTTGTTTTCCTTCTTCTTGTTTATGCATCTCTCCTTCTGAGGAAGAACCTGTTAAATCCGGGGATAGTCTTATGTGGGTAAATATCCTCAAGGATGGATCTGTGCACGCTTGAGGGAGGTTTGTTTTTTTCCCTGAAATGAACAAATTATGCAGTCAGCCCTAGAAACTGAAGGGAATAAAAGAGATGCGTGACCTCTTAAATCAACAGGCGATCCTGGCAGAGGCCTGTCCTCGTTTGCTGCAGACATTGTAACAACCTTCTTAAATTTCATTGGTGCTGAAGAAATGCTCTGGAAAAATGGTTGCCTTGATGAGATGCGAGAGTAGCTCATAAGCCCAGTCCAAGATGCCTCTCCATGTTCAGTACTGAAACCAGCTGCACTTGACATAAATACTATTCGAGAAGAAGATACGCAAGGCCTGATCATCGCCATGTTTGTTGCAGGAGTTGCAGCTGTAGCCATTTTGTGCAGTTAAATCTCAGAATAGTATCTGCAAGATTGCAAAGATCATATGCATTCAAAGCAGAAACATGGCAAGGCCGTATATTGGAACATAAACCTGTTCATGTACCCTCCCAAAAGTAATTTCTAACTCGCAAAGGAGAAAAATTAGAAAGATCAAAAACATTATACAATAATGCGATGAAGTTATCCACATCAACTATAGCAAGTTCTTCCAAGAATTTGCAGAAGAAGTTGAAATCTACCTTGTACTACTAATTCATAGTCCTAAAGTTCACTGCGGTACTATTGCTTGAGCAAAAAAGAAGGGTGTTTTATATAATTCATCATTCTACAAATACAAAAAGCGACACATTAGCTATGTCATGTCTAATATAAAAAATCTTTACCATACTTTTAAAACAAACTGATAAATTGTAATAAAACTATTAATAATGTAGAGAGATCCAAATGAATAGGATATAATTATCGATGGATAATCTTCACCCTTGACAGCAGAGCTGTCAGTGCTTCTCACCCTCCACTTCTCCATCTCTCTTTGCGACCCCTATCAGCTTAACCTGCTCCCCTAGAAAGAAACCCTCCTCCAGGGTCACGGTTTTGGCTTCTGTTCTTTATTCTGTTACCAGATTCAGTTCTTTCCATTCTTTATTCCATCGCGATTGTTTTTATTTGCATCCAGGATTTAAATCGATGATGGATAGAAGAAAGAGAGGGAGGCCTGACTTCAAAACTAATGGCTTTGGTGGATTGAAGAAATCTAAGCAAGGTCATCTATTTCTCTTAGTCTCAAGATTTAGCCAGTTAATTTCTTCAACTGGTATCTGGGCTTTTCATGTTGTTTGGTTTTCTTTTGGTGTTTTACTGATTTGTTTATGCTTTAAGTATGTTTTTTACTTTTTGTGGATTTATGCGTCTTGGCTTTTAAGAATTTGTTAGCTTGCACGGTGTTCTAAGGGAGAATTTAGCCTCAAGTGTTCTTTGTGTGTCTGTTTGGTTTCTAAGGCTAAATTCTTAATCATTTGCGTGTTTTAAAATTGGGGTCAATGCCAATAATGAAGCTTTTATTCCGTGGAAAGATTGGTTGATTGTTGTCTTTACTGTTTTGTTCTTTTTGTTTTTTTTTTAACATAATTTATGCTTCTGTATTGCTGTTAGAATGTTTAAATTATGTTGTTCTGGGGGTTAGCCGGTTAGGCTTTTTTTTTACGTTGGTTGTAGTTGTCATTTTGCCTGCTTGTATTGTCAAACCTTTGCTGCTGTTTCACTGGTAGGACTGTAGAGTCAGGAATTACCCGCACCAGCTTTGATTGTGGTTATGATTTTCTTGCTTATCCCACTTCTTCTGCTGCTGCTGCTTGAATATTGGCATAATAGTTTCAGAAACTACTTCACTGGTTGGTGTCCTTGAGAAATCCAATTTTTAAACTGTCGTTGAACATGCAAAATCTTAGCCTGGAGAAACTTTATCTGTGTTACAAGTTATACTTAAAGCACCGATAATGTAGCATTCATATATAGGGTGAAAAGGCAGCAAATAAAACACTTAAAACCATACAAACACTCAAATTAAATTATCCCCCAAGCTCAAGAACTGTTACTCATCGTCAAAGGATTGTCCTTTGTTTGAGTAACATATTTTATAGAATTAACCCAAGCATCCTTCAATGGCTTTGAGAGAGATTTCTGGTTTCTCCTCTAGACATAACTAACATCAAACAGCCTCAAGTATAAATGCATTTGACCAAACAAAAATCAAATCATCTCCCAGCATTTAACTCCACCTCAATTAAACATGCCCTGAACTAAGTGAAAATCTCAACAAAACAAAAACACCCATAAACTTCATTGGAGACTTCAGTTCATTTGTGAAGTACAAAAACAGGGTTACCACATGAGTGGATGCTAGATAATGGTGAGAAAAATTTGCTGGAATGTACTTGTCAATGTACATCTATATTACGCACCAAACATTCTATATTAGTTAGACAATTTTATTCTAAAAAACTTAGGTGTTTTGTAGCGAGTCCTACTGGTATTAAACTTGGGAATATTTTAGAATAAGTAGATTAAGAATCTGGAGAAATTTTAACTGAGAACTAGTAATTAATGTTTGTAACAGAAATGGACCCCTTATCAACTGTTGTAGGAAGCAAATTGAAGCCATGCACCAAGTTTTTCAGGTTCAAATTTTCTCACCTAAATAAGTATCTTGAATTTCATCTTTCATCTTTTAATATTTAAAAGTTACTGTAATTTTTTCCCCACAATTTGAGTTGTGTGCTGTGCTAATGAAGTGGGTATTCTAGCTGTTATACAGTTACTTAGTCATAACTGTGCTTTGTTCAAACAAAGTTTATTAATGGAATTTCATTGTAGACTTTGTTTTACTTATGAACTACAAAAAAAGATAATTGCTTGCTGGAAAACAGTTGATGCAAGACTCTCTTTTTTCTGGATATTGATTTTATTTTTATACCCGAGGAATGTCCGCTGGCTTTCCTTGTTACTTTAACAACGATAACATTTAATGTTATTTTTTCCATTTAAAGTTTATTGGTTCTGGATTGAACACAACTTCCTATTAAATAAATTAGATTATGTTGAAGTAAGTTAAACTTTCAGTATGGTGTCAAAAATTTAGAATAATGGATTTGCTGGCACAGGCTTGTATTACTGTAGCAGCAAGTTCAATTATCTAGAATTGTATCAATTTGTGAGTGCCATATTGTCATCCATGTCACTGAAGTTTATGCTATGCTATCTTCTAATCTGTGATGAAGGTATTCCAGTTTGGAGACTCGTTGACTTAGTTTAACATCACTTCAGCTGTGTTCCTTATTTCTGGTCCTAAAAGAATTTTGATTCAGTATTTCATTTTTCTAGGTGGTAGCCTATTCTGTTTTGATTCCCAATATTTGGAGATGATGTTATACAGAATTCATCATGTGAATCTGCATTTTTATCAAAGTCAATTGCTTTGTGGTTATCATGTGCAGTGATAGTTAGAAGAATAAGATTGTAGTTGAGCATTTCATTCTTTTTTAATTGAATGGTAGTTGTAGGGGTAGTTGTAGGCCTTAATTATTTGATTAGTATTCAGCTGCTAGATGTACTTTTGGACTTTTAAGCAGTATCATTTATCTGCACATGGTGGATTGACTTACTGAACCTTTTTTTCTTTTTTTGGTTATGCTTTGGATCGCTGCACTGCTGGCTGTCCATTTGGTGAGAGCTGCCACTTTCTCCACCATGTTCCTGGTGGCTACAATGCTGTGGCCCAGATGATGAATCTGGGACCTACTGTCACCCCACCATCCAGAAGTATGGCGGCCCCACTGCCAGTCCCTAATGGCTTTGCTTCGTCTGCTGTTAAAGGCCGGCTATGTAACAAATACAGTAGTGCTGAAGGTTGCAAATTTGGTGATAAAAGTCATTTTGCGCATGGTGAGTGGGAACTTGGCAGGGATTTTGCTCCATCCCACAACAATCCACGTGCTGCTGGAGGTGTTCCAGGACATTTGGGTGGTCGTGTGCTGCTTTGTGGTTATCATGTGCAGTTGATAGTTAGAAGAATAAGATTGTAGTTGAGCATTTGAATCTTTTTTAATTGAATAATAGTTGGAGGCTTTACTTGTATTCAGCTGCTAGATGTACTTTTGGACTTTTAAGCAGTATCATTTATTTGCGGATTGACTTGCTGAACCTTTTTTTTTTTTTTTGGTTATGCTTTGGATCGCTGCACCTGGCTGTCCATCCGATGAGAGCTGCCACTTTCTCCACCATGTTCCTGGTGGCTACAATGCTGTGACCCAGATGATGAATCTGGGACCTACTGTCAACCAACAATCCATAAGTATGGCGGCCCCACTGCCAGTCCCTCATGGCTCTACTTCGTCTGCTATTAAAGGCCGGCTTGTCCATGCCGTCCATAGTTCCATGTTCCATGTTCCGAGTAGATAATAGTAGCTTTGCCTAATTTGCTGGAAACCCTTGAATTTTAAACTTCTGTAGTCTATTATAATACTTTAATAATTTCTATTGCGAATAATTCTATTATAATACTTTAATAATTTCTATTGCGAAGTACGATCCTATGTTTCAGAAGCCAAAGCCTTTTTAGAATGATGTCACGGCGTTCTCTGCATAAATCATTACCTTGTGCAAGATTTTCTGTATCTGTGCAGTTTCTATTATGATTTAGAGAACCATTGTTGTAAAACCTGGCCAGCTTGGTGGCTTGTCCTGGGCAACCTGAGGTTTTGGACATGTTTTATATAGAAAAACTAGAGTTTCCAGATAAACTAGAGTGAGATTTATTTATTTTTTTTTTGATAAATATCTTAAAATTTTATTTAAAAATTTCAACTTTTGGATTAAGATAATTTTTTAATATGATATTAAAATCTTGATGATTAAACGATCATACGTTTGAATATTATTATTTTTATTTATTTGATAAGATCACGAGTTTGAATATTATTATTTTTATTTATTTGATAAAAATTAAGTACAAACTAAATTCATAACTTGTATAACTTTCAAGCTCAAAGAATTTTTACTCAAGGTATTTTAAAATTAAGAATTTTTGTCTGTGTATTTTAAAATTATTTTTTAAATCTTGCTTAAGTTATTACACTATTATGATGATTTTTTAAGGTATTTGCTGAGTCTCTTTTCTTAGTAAGTTCCATGGCACCTTGTGTCATCCCCTATGCATCTGGAGTTTCTGGTCCCTTTGGATTCTTTGATCGCAGATCTCACAGATATATCACAAGCATACAGATATTATCTTTGCATTAGATATGATACTAAGAAGAAGAAGAAGAAGAAGAAGTGAAATTAATACGCAAAGAACAAAGAGTAGTAGCTGGTGTATTAAGAACGATATCGGAATAAGAAAGAAAACCCATGAATTAAATTGAAGAAGAAGAACAAGCAGTGAAATGAAATTAATACACAAAGCACAAAGAGCAGTACCCTGCACAACCAAACACCCTTATGTCAGTTGCCTTAAATGAGGTTACCAATTCTATCATAAAAAAATCACAAAATAATTTGAAAAACTAAGTAACAGAAAAGGAGAAATAAAATGAATTAACAAATAAACAAACCAAATATTTAATGAAAAATACCCAAAATTTAGCATACATCAATTCACCTAAAACAAACCCCATACAAAAATCGTTGTTGCATAAAATTGAATAAAAATAAATTATAACATCCAATATTTTTTTATTTGATATTTAATTCAATTGTTTTTTTAAATTTTTTTTTAAAATTAATGATTTATTGGATCATTTTGATATTAGAACAAGAAGATTTACGATTTTATTATCTTATACAAGGATAAATTTATTTTGTTTGTTGTTCATGTGAAAAGGATGATGGGATTCTTTTATATTATATCTATTTTTTAAAATTATTATTTTATATGAATATATTTAACTAATAATATTTTTCTCTTAGACTGTGTTTTTTGAACTCAAACCAAAATAAATGAAGTTTTTTATTTTTGTAGAAATACACATTTCCAAATAATAATAGTACAAAATGAGTATAGTAGCTCATGAATAGTAAAGTTTGGAAGTTTGAAGTATATTGGATTTTTTTAAAAAAAATTCTTGTTTTTTTTAAGTTATTAAGTTTCTTTTTTTAATTTACTTATTAGTTTGTTTTCAAGAAACATAATATGAGATATGATGACAATCCTTAGACTCATCCAATATAGATGAGGATTTGTATTTGATCTAAAGTGTTAACTATTAGATATTTATTATTGGATATTTATAATCAAATTTTAGCATTTATTCTCTAGAATTTTAGATAATTTTAAATTAATAAGTTGAAGCTTGAATGACCAATTTGGTTGTTAAGATAGAACATCTTAGTACTGAGATGGCTGAATTTCAATGATTGTACATGGAACCAAAAATTATACATGAATCATTCATGTGCTCCCTCTTATCACCTTTTAGTCTCGAAAATTATTTTTAAAACCAACATATTAAAATAAGTTAAAAATATATAAAAAATTAATTAAAAATAAAAAAATTAATTAAAAAAAACACTTTTATAATATAAAATATGGTTACACAGTTAGAGATAGCCGAAGGGGCATGAATAAAACACTTAATTAATGGCATCCATTCCAAAGGAACAATTATTGGGGTCCAGGAAACAAGATGGAAGCTTCTGTACCAAACTCAAATAGTTCGAGTATAGTATATATGGATTTTAATAATTTATCAAATATCTTTATCTATTTTAAGTAGGAAAGGTATTTTTTTTTCTGTTATTTCACTCTTTAAATAGTGACGTCATTAATGACATCTCATTTGAAAATAATTACGAACTTCTTTTTTTTTTTTCTCCAGAGATGAGATTCTTCAGTTGGTTTTGTTAAAGAATCTTATAACAAACTAATTTCCTGTTTTAGATTAAACAACACAGTAATGAATCATCAAACAGAATTAATCTACAGCACACCAACACACCAGAAAAGGTGAGCAGCCAAACAGGCTCTTAATTCCAATACTTACCATCTCACGTGCGATCACGAATCTCAACCATATATTGTAAATTAGTTAAACTAAGAGGGACAATTCCGTGAATATAGTCAGCAGATATTTTAACATCACGAATCTCAACTATATACCGTTGAGAGGAGCGGTTAAGATTGATGCCACGTCATCGCATGATGGGATGCAGGTCTGGCAAAGCAGCGCACGCGACCAAAATTCCACTGACAAGGCGCCACGTGAAAAAGCATTTAAGATACATAAATTAAGAGCGTCTTTAAGAGTTTGGTTAGTGTTATTTTTAAAATGTTTTTTTATTTAAAAAAATATATTAATAATATTTTTTTAATTTTTTAAAATTATTTTTAAAATCAATATATTAAAATAATTTAAAATATTAAAAATATAGTAACTCAAAGTAAAATAAAAATTTAAAACTTTTTAAAAGTTTTTTTAAAATCACAATATCAAATACACTCTCGTATATATCAATTTGAATGTGTGAGGATTACATAAGCAATGATGATCTGTTTTAAAATTACAATATCAAATACACTCTCGTATACATGATAGTTATGATATCAATTTGGATGTGTGAGGATTACATAAGCAATGATGATATAAAATATTTTTTATTTAAAGATATATAAAAATTATATTTTTATTTTAAAATATTATTTTTAATATTATTGTATCAAAATAATATAAAAATAAAAATATTTATTTAAATAAAAAAATAAATTTTAAAATAAAAAAACTATTTACACCAAGTTTCTAAACACATCTTAAAATAACAAAAAAAAATCAACAAATTTTCTCTAAATTATCATTAACTGGGAGTTTAAAAAAATATGTTTTAAAAATTAATTTTTTATATTTTTAAATAGTTTTAATTTGTTAATATTAAAAATTATCTTTTTAAAATAAAAATTATTATTTCATTATATTTTTTTAAAAATTATTTTAAACTACAGCCGTCATTTTATTTTAAAAATATCTATAATATAGTTCCCGCTTTATACTTTTTATAAAGCGTTTTTATAAAGTAACCTGATTTTTTTTATTTGCAAAGTTGATATAAAAAACTCTTAATACCCATTTTATTTTATAAAAAACTATACATAATAAAACACACATAGGTAAACTATCTTTTGGTATATATACTTTCTTATTTTATAAAAAACTCTATTGTAAAGGCAAAAAATTCAAGCCATCTATTGAGAGTGAAATTGTATTTTAATAACCCAAGTACAAAAAAAAAATAAAAAAATTGAACCTTTTCTTGCATCTATCAACTCTCAAGAAAACGACATTAATCTAAATTTAGTCGAAATTAACAAGGAAACGTAGACATCAATCATCATTCAAGAAAATTACAATAGTTTGTAATTTGGAAGCGATCTGAAATATAAATAGAGTTGAGGGACCGATTTGTAGTTAGGCTAGTCGAAATTACCAAGGAAATTTCTAAACGGCAAGTTGGAATATGTGGGGCCCAAGTGCAAGAGCGAATGAAGGAGGAAGGGAGCGGTCGCGATATTGCTTAAAATACTGGCCTCTACCCCTCCTGCCTTTGCTCAAGGGCCGGCTACGTCTGTTATAGAAATAGAGAGGATTTTGGGAAAAGGAGAGGCGAGGCTTCAAGAGAAGGAGAGTTACTCCCTTTCTCCCTTATCAGGTAATTATACATTTCCTCTCCTCTTTAGCTCTCTGCTCTGTTTCAATCACCAACCTGCATTTTTGTATTTGATTCCTTTGCGGGTTTTGCTCGCGAATGTTTGTTTTCTTCTCTCCTGGGTCTTATATATTTCAGATCCAGGTAAAACGATGATCTTTTCTCTGATGTTTCTGGTATTATATTCGAGTTAATTACAGTATTATTTTGTAAGAGATTGGTTTTTGGTTAGATCTGCGTGTGCGGTATTGTGTTGTGTTTTTTCTCCAGAGGTTGGTTTCTGCTTAATTCTCTCAATTTGCCGGGGCTGCTGCTTTCTTTCTTTTGTTCTTTTTTTAATTAATTGAAAATGGCATCTTTGAAAGCTATTTTTTTTTTGTTTTGTTTTTAACGACCTCTGTACTGAGCAACTTGTCTGGTTGTTGTTTTTTAATACTTTGTCAAATTAAATATATAAAAGCTTGGTAGACTCTGGTCAAATAAAGAAGATCTCTAACGGTGTTGGTGAATCTTTTAATATTGACGGTGCGGTGTGGGTGGGTGGTTCTTCTTCGGTGGGGGGTAAGGAGGTTGGCCTTAGATTTCGATTATAGCTGTTTTCGTAGGTTTCTTTGGCCTTGTTGTTTGAAGAAAAAATATCTCCCTTGCCGCCGCTCTGCTTGTGAATAATTGGCTGGGGGAAAATAAAGAAACCAACTTCGATTATCTTGGAATAAAAACTATAATCTCAAAGTCCATTTTATAGCCTTGATGGAGAGGCGAGATTGACAAATTAGCAAAACTGAGTTCTTTTTTTTTTTTTTATTTTTTTGATTTTTATATTTATATATCGCTTTTACATGTAGCTGATGAAATTAAATTTAAAAAATAAAAAATATATTATTTTAATATATTTTTAAATTAAAAAATCCCAGACATGTAAATAGAGGAAAAAAAGATAGAGAAATTTGATATAAAAATTCATGGAAATATATAGCTGTTTGGAATTGAAATTGTGTTTATTTTTTAAATTGTTTTTTATTTAGAAATATTTCAAAATGTTATTTTTATTTTTAAATTTTTATTTTTGATATTAACCTATCAAAATATTTAAAAATATTAATTTAAAATAAAAATATAAAAAAATTAAATTTTTAAAAAATATAAAAATAAACATGCCAATAATAATATTCAATTACCTCTAGGTTTGGAAAATTTGGACAATGAACAGGTAAACAGTATGTTAGGATCCCAGTATGAGACCCGCAAGGGCAAAAGAGTAAAAAGAATGTCAGTACGTAGGCGGCGGATGGTCAGCATCATTTCTTCAATATTTCAATGATTCATGATGTCCCTCTTTCATGTACCTCTTATGATAGTCGGCCGTTCAGGTGTGTGGGGGGTTATGACAATCTTTATTGATTTTTTTTTTAAAATTAGTTCATAAAATTAGAGATATTGACAGGAGTATATTTAAACAAAAAATACATTAAATAGCACTGTTTATAAATTAAAAAAATGATATTTATAAATCCTTGCTATTTAATATAATAATAGAGAGGGGAGGGAGATAAAAAATCTTAGAGAAATTTTAAATCTTTGATTACTATGATTTGAGTATTAATAATATCAAGAAATGTTACCATAATCATTAAGAAATTTAAAAAATATCGGATGGTTCACTTGTTTTTTTACAGGAAGTGTGATAAGTTTCATGATTTTTTTATGATATTTTTTAATGGTATTGATGGTGTTGCAATTAGGATTTTGGTAATTTTTAGTGTTTTTTTTCCTTTTCATTTAATATTTTTAATTTATTGGATGTTGATATTCTGAATAGCGACAAGTTATAAATATTGTAATTTTTTAATTGGGACTTGATTGAATGGGTCATTTTATCAAATTTTTTTATTTTTTTATTTCAGCGTTAAAAATATCCTTATTGTTTTCAGTTGACTTTTAATCCTTATTGTTTTCAGTTGACTTTTTAATTTTGTGGGTGCCATTTTTAAAAAGTAGATTGCAATAGTTATTTCATCAAAGAAAGAAGAAAAATAAAAATATCATTTTTTTATTTTAGTAAAAATATTTTTAACATTTATAATTTTTTTTTTAAGTGTCATGTCCCTATGTTTTGGTAAAAGTTTAACACGGATTCGAAATACCTTTTGGTGATCGAGGTCCTCATTTATGTCTGACGTACTCCTTTCTTCCTCCTATCACTCCTTTTGTCACCCCCCACCTACCTCATAAAAAAAGAGGTGTCTTGCTGGCCTAGCCATGGGACTCCATATCCCACTAGCCACAAGTGGCATAGGCATCTGATGCCTTCTAAAGTGCTCAAGGGCACCTACCTCACGTCTTTGGTCCTCTTCCACGTTTCCTCTTACGCGATTTCTGTCCATATTGTAGGGAGTTTGTTTATTGATTGACGCCCGATACACTGGGGAGGTCGTCATTCGACTTATAAGCTTTCTAGGCCAAGTGTGGATATGTGTATATGTCAGGACAACACGGCCTTTATTTTATAACCACAAAAGGGAAATATCATGGTCTTTTTCTAGCATAAACTCGTAATGCATGCAAGCTTTGTGGTTGTCCAATACTAGCGGGCCTGTCGATGATTTGACCGAATGTAGCAGCCGAACATTAATGCCAGTAGTTGTCCATAAATAATCTTTGATATAAGGCGCCTAAACCTTCAGCATAGGGAAAACTAATACTTGTAGTCTCATTCTTTTCAGGTCTTGAAACAATGGGTGCTGGTGGTAGAATGTCTGTTCCTCCTTCCTCTGCTAAGGTGGAATCTGATGTTTTGAAGCGAGCTCCTGACTCGAAGCCGCCATTTACTCTTGGCCAGATCAAGAAAGCCATCCCACCTCATTGTTTCCAGCGTTCTGTTCTTCGCTCATTCTCTTACGTTGCTCATGACCTGATCATTGCTTCTCTCTTCTATTATGTTGCGACCAATTACTTCCACCTCCTTCCTCACCCTCTCTCCTATGTGGCCTGGCCCATTTATTGGGCTGTTCAGGGATGTGTCCTCACCGGCGTTTGGGTTATAGCTCATGAGTGTGGTCATCATGCCTTTAGCGACTATCAATTGCTTGATGACATCGTTGGCCTTGTCCTCCATTCTTGTCTCCTCGTCCCCTATTTTTCATGGAAACATAGCCATCGTCGCCATCATTCCAACACAGGCTCTCTGGATAGGGATGAAGTGTTTGTCCCCAAGAAGAAATCTGGTATCCGTTGGTACTCCAAATACCTTAACAACCCACTAGGTCGTTTCCTCACCATTACAATCACTCTTACTCTTGGCTGGCCTCTTTACCTTGCATTCAATGTTTCAGGCAGGCCTTATGATAGGTTTGCTTGCCACTACGATCCATATGGCCCTATCTACAATGATCGTGAGCGTGTGGAGATATTTATATCTGATGCTGGTATTCTTGCTGTCACTTATGGGCTCTACCGCCTTGCAGTCGCAAAGGGACTTGGTTGGGTTCTTTGTGTCTATGGAGGGCCATTACTTGTGGTGAATGCATTCCTTGTTCTGATCACATATCTGCAGCATACCCATCCTTCATTGCCGCATTACGATTCATCTGAGTGGGACTGGTTAAAAGGGGCTCTAGCAACTGTTGATAGAGATTATGGAATCTTGAACAAGGTCTTCCATAACATAACAGACACTCATGTAGCTCACCATTTGTTCTCAATGATGCCACACTACCATGCTATGGAGGCCACGAAGGTAATCAAACCAATTTTGGGAGATTACTACCAATATGACGGAACTCCAATCTATAAGGCAACGTGGAGGGAGACCAAGGAGTGCATTTATGTACATCCAGACGAAGACGACGATAAACAGAAGAACAAAGGCGTCTTTTGGTACAGAAATAAATTGGATTGAAGATGTCATCATGAATGTATCGGGGAGGGGAGGTTTCTGTTTGTTGCTGCTAGGGATTATAGCCTTCCTGTCTTGTTGACTTGGAGTTTGTTTCAGTTGTTTTTGTCGAACCTTAATCTAAGTTGTGCTCCTTTTTTGAATAATCCTAAGCATCAAGGTCCAGCATGCATTAGCATGGGACACTCAAGAGGATGCTCCTATTTCCCCAAAGCTGGTGGAGTGCATATACAGTTTCAACATTTGTTACATACAGGTGTGAAAAATATGAAGTATTCAAATTGGGTATATCCTTAATTTATAAAATACATGATCTTTCCCGGTCACCTGCAAGGCTGCAACATCGGCATTGACAGTTTTGTTCAACAGAAGTGCTGAATACAAACAATTGAGATCTTATTTTTCAAGATATATCCTTAATTGTGCTTGTTTCCACCTCTTCATTTGGGTTTCATACTGGAATTGTGCTAGAGCTGTTCAGTTGGGTTGTGCTAGAGTTGTTTGATTGGACTTCAGATAATTAAAAAGGTTGGTATGGAGTTGTATATTTAAGTGAAGCTTTTATAACTCATGGCAGGATTTTTGAATTTCTTTTTGGTTGGGAAAAATTCCGATAGGGTCTGTCCTGTTAAGTTAGTAGAGAAACCTTGTTCCATGAACAAGGATCTCACTTGATTACTGCTCTCAATTCTTTATTTCTAGAAGAGATGATACTGTAGGAACATGCATGGCCTAAATTATGATATAAATTGTTGCAGCTCATTTTTTTTTTCATTTGAGAAGCGGCCCAAACAGTTAAAATTTAAATTTATTTTATTTTTTTAGATTGTTTTAATATTTTAATGTAAAAAATAAATTTGTTCAAAAAATATTTTAAATATTTTTTTTAATATTTTAAGAAATAATTAATCAAACTCTATCTTCATATTTTGTAGTATTTCACTAGTCTTATATATTTTTTCTATAGTTATAAAATCCAGACCGGTTTGATAGGTCAATTCCGGTTTGATAGATCAATTCGAGAATCAAACTAATTTGAATATTTTAAAAAACTAATAAATATAGAAAATCAGTCGGACCCAATTAACCCAACAGGTCGACTTGGGCAAACTTGGGTGAGACCCGACCTATATATACATCTAATCTTTACTCACAGTAAAAGTCGTTCGAGCAGAAGAACATTTAACTCTGCCTTAATTTTTGTTCGAGCAGAAAAAGAAATATCATGATTGAGGTGAATATTTATCACTGGTGAATCAATCCAAAAGCACCACTGGTGAATCGATCCCATCCAGCTTCTACAAGCGGAGAATATGGTGATTGAGGTGAATATTTCTCTTTCTCCATCCAGATCTCCCTTGTCCATTGGGTTAGTAATAATATAGTGATGGTTTTATTGTTGGCTTTTCTGGTTTAGTTTGCTGTTAAGAGAACATTGCTGCTATAGTAATTTCCAAGCCTTTACTCCATTAATTATAAGCAAACTACTTTGTAAACACAGAATCTTTGATATACGTTATTGCTATTTTTGCCCCTTGTTACTTTGATTCTATCTGACATTTGGAAAAACAAATCATTTTTTTTTCATCCAGCAAATTCTTAAAAGAGAGAAAAATGTCAAATTTCATTGCAAAGTGAAATTAGTAACATCGACTATATTTACACATTTGTTGTATCCTGAGCATTGTGATGTGAAAGATACACAATTGCTTTTCTTTTCAGCATAAAGATTTATCACTTCCTTCCCGTGATTTGTAAACATTGATAGGGAAACTCCTTTGGGATCTTAAGAAACTAAAAGAAAAAATATACAGGTCAAAGAAATTAACTAGAACAACAAAGTTTGCATTACCATTTTGGCTATCATTTTCTTCTTTTGATGGCATGGGGAGATTCAAATATACAGTATTACCAGAGCAGAGGCTTAAGCCCTTCATCATAAGACTAATATCTCATTAGCCTTCAGTATTTTACCATTACTAGAAAGAGAACCAGTATAAGTTTATTATTTTTCTCTTAATAGTTTAGTTCAATCTTTATATTTATCCTTGGATTAATTTGATATTGTTTTACTAGTTGGTTCTTGAGTGGTGGATGATTATTAGTTCAATTTGATTAATTAAAGTCAATTTTACTATTTTGATTACAGACTTAGATTCTTAGTATAATTTATGTTGGTGCTTAGTTATTTAAAATTGATTTGGTTTCCTTAAAATGTCTTCTCCAACATGGTAGCACTTTAAGTAGTAATTATTTAACTCCTCGTTCATATGAAACTTCAATTTCCATATCAACATTAAGTCGTATAAAAGAAAAAATAGATTTGATATGGGGTCATCGAAGAGAAGCTCCTTAACTTAGTGTGGGATGTAAGAAAACCAAATTAGTATGCTTGTATTGTGCCAAAATTTTTACAGGTAGAGGCATTAATCAATTCAAGCAATATTTAGCTGGAGCGAAAGGACAAGTGGAACAATGTCACAAATGTCCTTCAGATATTTGTCATAAAAAAAACTAGAGAAATGAAAGCAGATTTCAATGTGCCAAAACTTTTGCAGGTAGAGGTATTAATCTATTTAAGCAACATTTAGCTGGAGCGAAAAGACAAGTGGAACAATGTCGCAAATGTCCTCCAGATATTTGTCATCAAATGCTTTTGAATCTTCAGGTGAATGTTGAAAAGAAAAGAAAAACTAGAGAAATGAAAGCAGATTTCAACCCATATAGTGCTGAATAAAGAAAGCATGAAGAGAGGATGATTAAACAATTAGAAGATAATAATAAAAGTAAAGACGATAATGATGATGAAACCGATGGTAAAAAGCAAATGTTACCACCAAAGGTTACTGATAAAAGAAAGAGTAAAATCACTAATGTTGGTAAACAATTAACTAAAAGTTGTGGAAAACAGAAATAAAATCCAACATGAGGGGCATATTTTATTCCAAGAACAACTCATGGTGCTCAAAAGTCTCTCCAAAGTTATTAGAAAAAGAAAGAAGTTATTGAACGATGTAATCTTGCTATAGCAAAATGGATGATTGATGCATTTGTGCCATTCAATACTGCTAACTCTATTTATTATCTATATGTTATAGATGGTATAACAACCATGAGTCTTGGTTATAAAGGACTAAATTTTCATGCTCTTTGTGTTTATTACCTAGCAAAGAAGGTTGATGAATTGAAGATTTTTGTTGAAATTTTCAAGAAATTTGGAAGAAGACTGGTTGCACATTGATGGCTGATGGATGGACAGATCAAAAAAGGAGAACTTTAATTAATTTCTTAGTATATTGTCCTAAAAAGACTGTTTTTTAAAAAACAGTAAATGCATTAGAGGCCTCAAAAACTGTTATGTTGTTGTATAAGTTGTTTAGAAAGGTTGTTGGACTTGAAAATATTGTGCATACACTGACTAACAATGATTTTAATTATGTTACTGCTAGCAAGTTGTTGGTGGAAGAATTTCTTTCAATATTTTGGTCTCTTTGTGCTGCTCATTGCATTAACCTCATACGCCAAGATGTTGGTAAGCTACAATCAGTTTGTTCTATTGTTGATCATGCTTCTAGTATTACAAAGTATATTTATAATCATTACTATTCATTGCATTTGATGAGGAAGTTCACTGGAGGAAAAGAAGGCCAGCTCCTACTCATTTTACTACTAATTTCATTACTTTGCAAAACATTTTAGTACACAGAGATAATTTGAGAGCTACAGTCACATCTAGAGAATGGGTCTCCTCTGTTTATGTTAAGGATAATAAAGAAAAAAAGTTTGTTGATAGTGTGTTGAACTCTACATTTTAGAAATAATGTGTATCAATTGTACGGATGATCGAACCATTAGTTTGAATTCTATAAATTCTTGATAGTGACAATAGACCTACTTAAGATATTTATACGAGGCTATCCATTCTGCAAAGGATGAAATGTTGAGGAGATTTCAAAGAAAAATGGCTAAGGTGTAACCTTTCCTAGACATCATTAACAATAAATGGGATGAAAAATTATATAGGAAGCTTTATGCAACGGAATTTTAGTTGAGTTCTCGATTTCAATATGATGTAAATCTAATAAATAGATATACAAACACCATTTTCGGACTTCTAGATATTGTTGAGAAGTATGCAAATGAAAATGCAATTTTGCTAAGTAAGCTTATAAGTAAAATAAAGTTGTTTAGGAATGCAGAACATGGCTTTAGTAGAGTGTCTACAAGAAATGATCGCACTCTTTTACCTCCAGGTATATTATTATTATTATTATTTTCATATTCAATATAATTTAAAGATATTATCTTAACATAATCTTACTTATTAATTTTATATATAGATGAATGGTGGGTGCTATATGAAACTTGTGCTCCAAATCTTCAAAAGCTAGCTATACGAGTTTTAAGTCAAACTTATAGTTCTTCAAGATGCGAGAGGAATTGAAATATTTTTTAGCACATCCATTATAAGAAGAGAAATCAATTGGAGCATCACAGACTCAATGACCTAGTTTACGTCCACTACAATTTGAGATTAAAACAAAAGTATTTTCTTTTCTCTAATTCTTTAAAAGTTATTTATATTATTAAGTAGCATCATTAATATTTATATTTTGTACCTGAACTTTAATTTTGTAGAAATTATTGGAAAGGAAAAATTTATGATCCAATTAATTTTGAGGCATTTTCTAACACTGAAAATTAGGTAGTAGAAGATAATCCATCATCTTTAACAACTGAAGAAATAAAAATCCTTCATCGTGATTTATCAACCATAACCATTCAAGATACTTTAAATGAAAGTAATAGAAGATTTGATCCTTTAGTTATAACTTTGTTTGAAAATGAATTATTGTTTAACATGTAATGATTATTGGTTAATTATGTTTCAATTGTAGATTTGATAAATATAAATGAGATTGAAGATGAATGTGATGATGAAGATACATGGAAGAATGATGATGTTTTAATAGGCATTAATGAGGTAGGTTCAATTCCATTGACATTTGATTCAAATTTTACTCCTATAGATACTGAAGAAGTTAATGCTTATATTCAACCCAAGTAAACATGTTATGTTAGAAAAGTGTTGTCATTCCAATGAGGTATTGTACTTTACCATTCTTTTTTTACAATTCTACTAATGTTAAGTGTTTATTATGTTCTAAAATCTTTTACTTTTTTATGCAACTGAAAATGTTGATTTATGGATTCTAATGCAAAGTAAAGTCAGAATGTTGATTCATGGATTCTAATGCAAATTGAATTTTGGATGTTCTCATCTTATATCTATCATGTTACTTTATATATTTCTAGAACAACTTGTTATTTTATTATCCCTGTCTTTAATATCTTTTAATAATATTAAAGATTTGTTTATTTAAAGACAAATACACATTCTAATCTATTGATGTTAGTTAATTATGCTAATACATATATTCATGTGATATTTTCTTGATAATTATGCTAGCATATATGTTAATGTGATATTTTATATCAAAACAACTATATTAATGTATGTCTTGGTGTTTTATCTGGGTTGACCCAGGTGGATCGGGTTGACCTACAAGCCTTATGACCCAGTTATTTTATCGGGTCAATGACCGAGTTAGGTTTTATAACTATGCTTTTTTCTCCAAGTAAAATACTTATTCTGAGAGCTAGCTCAATTGATCAAGTTTTTTCTAGAGGTCATCAGTTCGAGTCCTACAAACCTCAGAGTTATTAAAAACTTATATAATTATTAACTTCAGAACCTGTGAAATTAGTCGAGATACATGCAAGCTAGCTAAGACACCTACGTCAATAACAAAAAAAACTTAATCCTGGTATGCAATTTTAAAAATTAAATCAACACTTTATATTAAATCCCTCTTTGTTTACACCTAAAAACCACATATTTTCAAATCATTGGAAACATCACAAATCATGGGGTTTGTCTTTAAATTAACTCTATTTATTTTTATTTTGAGGTAGAGGTATTATGATAATTATTAATTTAAAAATATTTAATTAATAAATACAAATCACAATATTACATGGATCTTACTAAAAATATATTTTTAAATTTTAATTAAAAAAATATTATAATTTATGATTTTTTCTAAAAACTATTACTCCACAACAAGAAAGGTGATAAGAATTACCATCCCTATTTTTATATTTTTGTTAGGTAATTAAAAAAAATTATTTTCCGTTGAAGTTTTAAACTTTTTTAAACAAAATAAATTGTTTTGTTACTACCTTCAAGCATTGAATACGGGATCAAATACATTTTGTATGATTTTATTTTCTTTTATAGGAACTTTTGATGTCATCTCCCGATTTTACTTAATTTTTTTAATGTTAACTATTCTTGTAAAACAGTAATTGGTTAATTAATTAAATCCCTCTGCCAATTTCAAAATTGATTAGGTCACCTTATTAAGTTAATTTATTTAATGTTTCCTTTCATTAATAACAGAAGAAATTTAATAAAACTATAATTAACTTGAAAAATTGAAATAAAAAAAAAAAAAGATTTTGAATCTCATGAGTGAAAAGACTTTCAAATGCCAGCGGATGATTTAACTTAAGAACCAGGTGATGGGCCTTGTTACATCTTACCGCATGAAGATTTCCTTATCTTCTCTAGCAGTTCACCATCTTTAAATGAAAAGAATTCTTCCATCTTCTGTAGTGGTTCTACAGTCTTCACTTATGCAAGGTAAACTCTTGAAAAAAAATCAGGTGAGCCAATCATTATCACACGATTAACTTCTAAAACAAACTCAAATCTGATCGAGAGTTGAGGTAAGACCCAATGAATGATGAAAGCAAGTGCGCGAAGTGTGAGTTGTGTGAAAAAACTAAAAAAAAAAAACAATTTTATTTTCATATTAGATGGGGTGAGGTTAAATCTGCCGATTGATCTCAAGGTCTTCTTTTTTTTTTAAAAAAAAATAAAGACTTCCCGAGCAAGGTTTGGAGGGGGAACGATGATGGTGGCCACTCTCATGGCTATGATTTATTGTTGCTCTACTTTTGGAGACCTCAATATTTAGGTACCTAATTTGAGCGTGTTCTTCACGACAAGGAGAGCTGCTTCTAGGTAGAGTCAGATTATAATGGTACTCTTGTCTAATTTTATTTCCTTTATAATTTTGTTCATGAAAATCGAGTTGCGTAGCGCGAGCGAGAGAGGATTGTTTGGTTGCTCGGCCTGAGCTCCCTCCTTTTTCCACGCGCCTTCTCCTCTTCTGTCTTTGTTGCTATTTGGGCTTAATTTTACAACTGTGTCACAGGCAAATCTCGGATATTAAATCCATGAAGGGTTAGTCTCTCTGGTTAAACATATGAATATGCACTTGTTGATTAATCTTCCACGACAAGTGTAAATAATATGCTTAAAACTGGATTGATCTACATCGTGCGTGTGTTTAAGAATATTATTAAGGCATTAATTGGAGGATTAAATTAATTTGAGAACAGAAGATCATGCAAAGGGCAGAAATGCAGAGAAGACTGCAGTCCTGCAGCCCTTCAACAATGGCAAAGAAAATGGGTCCCTCTCTTTCTCTCAGAGACACACCTTCTTGTTGTCTGTTAGGGTTTAGCAGGGTGGCTCCCGCCGGGGAAACTCAATCCCAATGGCGCTCACGTCCCCACGTGGCAGTCAATGTACACGATCTATACGGTTTGGCCGGCTGGCGCAGCCGGCACGAGACACTTTGTGATGATCATGATGACTTGAACCTTAACCGAGCGTCCGATCTATTCGAATCTCTACTTGGCGTGCACATCCAACGGTGATTATTATCTCTCTCTCACTAGCATGTATTAGTCTTAAGCATCGTTCAATTTATTTCCTCTGGATTTATTTATTGCCTGCTATCATGCCCTCCACCACCCTCTTTCTGGGACTTTTTTTTTATTAAAAAAAAATTCTAAAATATGCGTTTTCTTCTGTATAACAGTGGATATGCCAGGATGGAACAAATTTCAACAAGCAATCTATTGATAGAGACTGCAATAGGATAGATGAAGGGGCAAGAAATATCACATATATAAAAATATGAAGAAATCTAATTAAAATAATGAGTTTTTAATTAGCGTTGTAGCTCTTACACCAAGGCACAACTGTCCCACAGGATTTGATGGCTTATGGAATTTCCATTTGGAATGTGAATCTGCATGCAGTTTTGTAATGGGATCCAGGTGGGTACGCATTCATCTGAAGAGAACTTAATGCACAAACACAAAGCCCTAGCTAGCAAGCTACTCTTCTTAA